GCGCCCCTGAGAGAGCTAAAGGGACAAAAAAAGCACAGAGAGGGAGAGAAGATAGTAAGGAGTGTCGAAAGAGAGAGGGAGTGATCCAGTCCGCTGGAGATGGATGTTCCGGGAGGAGGCCGTTCGATTGCCCTCAAGTTCTCACTCCCTCTATTCTGCCTCACCTTTTTGTTATTCTCTGTGCTTCACAAACCACAATCCAGTCTCTTCCTGCTTTGCTAATTTATATTCCTTTCTAACATTTGTATCTACTAACTGGTAGCTTTTCTGGGGGGAAAAACACTGCTTATTTAGTTTTTTCTTCTTATGTGAAGGTGTAAATATGAGGGGAATCCTGAACATTTGTTAACCACTCCTACCAATGGCTTGTCTTTCTCTCCCACACACACACACACACACACACACACACACACACACACACACACACACACAGCTGTCCCTGCACCTGTTCAGTTTTAGGAAATCTCAAACCATTGATCTCCAAAAACATCTTAAAGTTCACCCAAAAATAAACATTGTGCTATAATTTTAGTAAACTTCCTTTTACTCCAAACCTTTATTACTTCTGTGAAACTTAAAAGATGTTTAGCAGAATGTTCATGCTGCTCTTCTTCATGTAATAAAAGTGAGCAGGATTGTTTATTGCCAAGCTTCAAAAGACACCATAAAAGTTATTTATGTGACTTGTGTGCTAAATATTACTTTATATATGTATATATAGCTTTGTGATGGGTACAGACCAAAGTTCATGTTGTTAGATGTTTGGTCACACACACACACACACACACACACACACACACACACAAATAAATCTTACTGCAGCTCTTAAATCTACATTGTGTTTGTTTATGCATTACAATTTATTTTATTGTTTTGTTTTTTAGTAAGTTAATTATTATGTTAATGACAATATTGTTCAAAAGTGTGTGGTTGGCAACATTTTTTGTAAAATGTCTCTTATTATCAACAAGGTTGAATTTATTTGATCACAAATGCAGTAAAAAATAATTACAATTACAATTTTAAATAACTATTTTTAATGTTAATAAATGTTCAAATGTAACATCATTTGTGATGCATTTTTAGGATTCTTTAATTAACAGAAAGTTCAAAAGAACAGCATTTATTTGAAATAGAAATCATATAACATTCTATCACTTTTGGTCAGTTCAATGCATCCTCGCTAAATAAAATAAGATATTTTAAGCTGAGGCATAAGGACTTATTTTAGTTTTATCAATTATGCCAATGCAGTTCATTACTGACTGAATTCTGTATATGCAAATGAGACCATTTTTGTGCAAACCAAGGAAAAAAGTGGTGAATGCAAGTATAATTTACTCAAAAATGTGAAATGACAAGATGTTCATCTGGGTTCTTAGCACAAATATCAATCTTTTGAAAGCTAATGAACCACACAAGAGAACTGACTATGTCAATATATAGCAGAGCAGATTTGTTTTGCTTTTAGCTTCATCAAGGGTGACAAATCTATCAACCCCCCCTCAGTAAAGTTGGATCATCTCAAGATGGACCCTGTTAGTCTCTGCCCTGCTCAGATGACCAGCTCTGGCTTTCTAGCTGTGCTCTTAGCAGTTATGTTCTCATATAACTATGATGCAGCATAAAGTGCATTGGGTCCATTAATATGTGATGCCATCATTATTACACACATAGAGCCACTCAACAGACACTTAAGTGCAGTATCCACAATGCCACGCCTGTTTGTGTGCGTGAGCCTGTAGAGAAAGAGAGAAAGATCAGGATATCACAAGAGTTAGGAGCCATTAGGCCATGATTGCCTGAAACTGGATACACTGAGAGCTTGCCAGGGTTCCAGTTGCCCAGAATGAAGATGGACAGGACGCTCGATGAGCACAATTGTGGTGCTGTGCTGAAAGGCAGTTTCTCTCTCTCCCGTCCCAGACCAAATGAGACAGGCTAGCCTAGTTAATCACAAAAAAACAGAGATCCAAAAGTTAGGATGCGTGAAATGACAACAGGAGAAGGCTTTTAATCTAGCAATAAATTGCTGTATTGTCTAAGAAGGAAAGTCAATACAAACCAAACGCCAAATGTTATTGTACTGCAGGACAATTCTTCTATTTATAAGGGATTTTTTCTTTCCTGAAATTGTATGCAGTGTTATCTTTTATTGGGAAAAGGGAGAAAAGAGAAACCAGAGGGAAATGATAACAAATGAAAAAGGCTGAATGAGATGGTTGGAGAGAAAGGAAGCCTTGACAAACTCTCTAGTCGGAATGGAATTTCAGTTATAATGAAGTAATTTAGATTAGATGATTCCTCTCACAGTTTTTCATTTGTCACCTAATCATCGTTTATCTCACTCCTGCTCTTGTTAGTTGGTCCTTCTGTCTTTATAACCTTCATTATGGGCAGATCATGTTCTTCTCCCCCTTTCTTCCACTGACTATATGTGACCCTGGAGCACAAAACCAGTCTTAAGTCTCTGGGGTATATTTGTAGCAATAGCCAACAATACATTGTATGGGTCAAAATTATAGATTTTTCTTTTATGCCAAAAATCATTAGGATATTAAGTAAAGATCATGTACCATGAAGATATTTTGTAAATTTCCTACCGTAAATATATCAAAACTTCATTTTTGATTAGTAATATGCATTGCTAAGGATTTCATTTGGACAACTTTAAAGGCGATTTTCTCAGTATTTAGATTTTTTTGCACCCTTAGATTCCAGATTTTCAAATAGTTGTATCTCAGCCAAATATTGTCCTGTCCTAACAAACCATACATCAATGGAAAGCTTATTTATTCAGAAAAATTGACACTTAAGACTGGTTTTGTGGTCCAGGGTCACATATGTGTCTGACTTAACAGCTGTTTGAGAAGTCAGCAGATGTTTGCTTTAGTTATGTCTGTACAGCAGCACACGGCTTTGCTTTTATCAACCATCTCAGTTTTCTGGTGCTTATGTTTTCATTCTCCCAGCATGCCCAAAAACCCAAGGGCTTTGATAATGCTGTTGAGGAATACAAAGGTTTCTGGATGTCTTTGTTGGTTGGTAGTTTTTCATGTAGTACATTATGTTCTCATCATGTTTCTCCAGAATTCCTTATAGTTTTTAAATTATTATACATTTTAGTTAAAATATTAACATGGCTTACTTGGCTGTTGGTAGATTTTGGAACTGACACAAAGGGAAACTACCTTTTCTGTTAATCGGCCAGTTGAACATGGTTATATAACTTATGAATTAATCATCCTGGCACATATATTGGCCAGTCACTCATTTTTCATTTATTTGTGATTTGTGAATGCGGCGTAGAGATTGTGTGGTGAAAAATCGTCTTGTAGAGTTTGAATTTGTGGTGGACTGATCTTTTTTTTTTTTTGCCTTGTGCCGATACCCCTGACTCATGACTTCCACAGAGGTGTCAGCAACAGGCTGATGGTTGGAGGAGCTTAACAGGAAAGGACAGAGGGAGGTTGTGGATATAAAGCAGCAGCTTTTGTCAGTGTATTTGGTGGTCAGCAGGCTCTCAACTGCACAGACAGACATTAACTTTGGCAGGGGTCAGACCGGGCCAAGACCTGTTTCCACTGATGCAGGAAACAGGTATTGAGCTAGATAATATTTCGAAGAGACAGTGGGGTCACAGATTTTCACTGTGATTTCACTTTACTTTGATGTTTGATGATGGTGAGGAGGATTAAGAGTTGGAATGAAACATTCTAAACAACCTAAATAGCATATATTAATACATACAGTATTAATAGAAACCAGTTATTTTAAATTGTAATAATATTTCTCAATATTACAGCTTGGATTTTTCATTAAAGAAATAAATGCAGCATTGGTGAGCATAAGAGATTTCTTTAAAAAACAACAACAACAACAACTCTTAAAAAACTCTTGACAACCTTTCAATCTTACATCATTCCTTCATTCATGATGCATAATAATGTAAAAGGTGAATTCAGTTCATAATTAGAAAACTGCGGAGAAGTGAGCTTATGCAAGAGCTTAAATGATGACTTGAATTGCAGACAGTCCTAAACGCCTGAAGATTCCATACACAGGCCACATACACACACCACAACCAGTAAGCTCAAATTGAAATATGAAACTGAGTTTCCCAGCCCCTGCCATCAGTGTCCAGCTATGTCATCTGCTGTTGGAATAAATAACCCTGATTGGACGAGGGGTTGACAACATGCACCAGCTGCCTAGCAGGCACCACAGTAATTAATTTGTCGTGCAGATGTTCTTTCAGGGCCAATGCATCTAATTAGCTGCAGCTTTTTTTGAACCAAAGACCTCCATATTTAATTCATTCAATGAAATATGGATGTGGAAAATGTTCATATTATTATCTGTCATTAGCCATTATAATTTCAAAATCCTGTATTCTTTTTAGTAAAAGTGGAAGTATTATAGCATCAAATAGTCATGCACATTTCATAATCTAATTGAAATCTATATTAAGTAATATATATATATATATATAAACTTTAAAAGAAATAAATTATACACACACACACCCCTTTAAACATTCATCTCTTGTTTTTCGATAAAGCATGCACATTTTCAGACACATCCAATACTTAAGCATCAGTTTTAGATTAGGATGTGTCACGTTTGGTTTATTTTCTTTTTAGACAGCAGATAAAACAATTACTTCATCTGTGTCACTGAGCCTAGAGTGGCTAAAAGATGCAATTACTTGCCTTCACTTTGTGCTAATGTGGTTATCCGAGACCAATAGCATTAAAAACGGCTGTTCTCAGACCTTCAGTGCAACTGATGACTGCGAGAAAACATACTGTCCCTTTTTCAGCTTTATCTATCAGTCCAGGGTTTTGTAGACCAGTATATTTCATAGCTATTTTTACTCCCTTCGCCCTAGCTGCTCATTGATTTATTCATTTGAGCTGTTTTATTGTTTTGTCCTGTCCTTTTGACTGTACTAATTCCTCTCCTTCTCTTTCTCTTTCACACTCTCTGGTTCTTTCCAGCGTGCTTGCTGCAGTCGGAGCTGGTGAATTATGAGCGGGTTAAGGAGTACTGTTTGAAGGTACTCGTACACCAGCAGGATCACTTTAAGGCCATGTACCGTGCTGGGATTGCCTTCTACCACCTGGGAGACTACGAGTGTGCCCTGCGTTACCTACGCGATGCCAAGTGCCGTGAACCCACAGGTGGGCATTATGATCGCTTTATTATTTATCATACACAGAAGTGCTTCTCAAATTGTTTCACTCTCATGTTCCAGATTTTACAATTGACCTAAGCAATAACTAAATAGTTTGTTAGGGATTCACCGATATTAAAATTCTGTCCGATACTGCTAATCAGATAATTATCTTCATGTTATGTTTGATATTCTGTCTATTTTGTCTAAATAAATATTAAGATCGATTGTTTTAAATCAACTGTTTTGTCTTAGTGAATTTAGACAAAAAACATTATGAAAAATATATTGTGTGACAACATAAAGAATGGATATTTATTTTGAAACTTCTTAAAAGATTACATTTAACTGTTATAAGGCATAATATTTATTAATATATTAATTAATTATCAATATATTTTTTATTATATAAATTATTTGATAACTTATTATATTATTATTATTTATTAGAATAATAAATGATTAATATATTTATTAATATAAAGCCAGTATTATTTTAGCATTTCTTATGTAATATTATAGCATTTATTAATATTTTGAATTAGCTTTTATTGTTATTTTCATTTAGGTTTAGGTTTTAGCATTTTGTTATCTGTCATTTTTATTAGTCTTCTATTTCTATATAGTTTGGTTTTATTTTTATTTCAGTTTTAGTTTTAGTAATTTAGAACTTAATATTATTTATTTCACTTAATAAATAAACATTTCTGATTATTGTTTCAGTTTTTCTATCTACGGTTTTTCCACTCTATCTATCTATCTATCTATTAGCTTTATTTCAAATAACAAGGTAATAACAACACTGCCGCAATTCAACAGCTGAGAATCATTGTAAACCATTTAGCTGTATTTATGTTATGTTGATGTGATCTAATGAAGCAAGTTTTAGTCTTATGCTGGTGTCTTTATTTCTTTCTCCCTTGCTCTTCTTATGTTCTATACTTCATCCTCTCTCTATCCAGACACAAACGTGCTGCGATACATCCAGCTGACCGAGATGAAGATGAGTAAGACCGGTCAGCAGGTGCGTGAGAGTGGGAAAGAGTCATTGGGTTAATTCGGCCCGACCCCCCCCCCCCCCACGCCCCCCCCCAACCCTGATAACAAAAAAAAAATCTCATCCCCTTTTTCC